GGTACTGAAATCGATGTTATAGAAATTGAGTAATATAAAAATTATACTTATATTCAGTTTTTGATATTAAATAATAGAATATTTTGAATTCTTAGCAGATTTGTCGTAATTTTTTAACAATTCGTTTTTGTAAGATTTTTAATCGTACACTTATTGTACAAATTTAGTTATATAAACAAATTATTAACATAAAATAATTTGTGCACATTTATACTTATTTTTTTAACATGCTATAATTTCCGTTAAAAATTTTTATCTCGATTTTATAAACATAGAGACAAATAGAAAAATATAATGGTTATATTTTTTTACTTACGAAAACCAATTTATTTGGAGCTTTAATGTTGCTGTTCCTCTTTCGGGAACTTGCAAAAGTGTCATTTTTTTCTTATTTCGCTTTCCTTTTGGGATACAGCGTTTCCTATATTCGAATGTTTAAATATTTTTATGTCATATAATTTAACAACCATGTCATACTATTAGAAAAAAAAAAAAAAATACATAATTTAGCAGACTTATTTTTTTGTTCGTTTTTTTTTATTTGTGCATGTACATCATACCTGAAAATTCGAGAAAAGAAAAAAAAGGAGCGAATCAAAAAATGATCAACGGCATCAAGCAGATCCCATTTGCTAAATATACGGAGCTCGTGGTGCTTGAGTAACAAAACTGGCTGCGCGACTGCCGATCATCTCATTCCTCGACTTCGGAGTACCACGAAGCATCGTTAGTTTTACGTATGGATCGACAATGGAGCTTTTGTACCGTGATTTTGAGGATCTTGATGAAAAGGTAACCGATAATGCGAAAAATATTTCTCACTGTCGGATATTTGTATTGATGTTGCGATGAGTTGTGATCCTTGATGAAAACCAGGGCGTTGATGGAACTCCACCGTTACGTTGTTGAATGATTTTTTTTCCATTTCATCCAGTTTGTTCACGAATGTATTGTTACCTTATAATTGGATGTGTCTTCTATTGTACCTTTCTGTGGAGCGAATAATGGACATCTGGTCATAAATTATTACAGAGGGAAGACATGTATGTATATATATTTTTTTACGTATTCTATAAGGGAACGAAGTGTAGAAAAGAAAAAGTTTTTCCAGCACACCTTTAGTTTTAATCGAAACTCAACGTATACTTACCACGTACGCAATGGTAGGGGATTGTTGATTTGTACATCCCAATCGTAAGATGTATTGTCAGCAGAATCGGTTCATGCAGTTGATTACGAGATATGTGATGGTGATGTACGAGCTTTCAGTGAGTAAACTAGTTGTTCATCGAGAGACCAGCTCGACTCGATTATTGATTTCAAAGGCGTACCATTGATTTTATCATTTTTTTTTCTACTGAACCTGTTATGTATTTTTTTTTAACTTCATTACATGCCTGCACGACGACTATTTATATCCACCATAAAATACTCCTTAAAGATTCGCAGCGATAAAGTTGTCTAAAAAATCTTAGCCTTAATAAAAACGCTCATATGGTGGATATATAGAGCGCTCCACTCATGAACGAGTAATCCCCATTAACGCGCTATTGAAGTTAAATCATGTATGCAGCGAGAGCAGGCGAGTGGAAGAAGTTGGGGAGGCTAATACTATAATCCAGGCCAATCGAGTTTCGAGTGGAGCAAGAGAGGAAGGGCGGGTCTCCAAGAAGTTTCCTCCTTTTCTTCTGCCTTCGCCGTATATGTATACACGTGACTACATATATTATATACATAGTATCCATTGTATGGAAGGATTTCTCCAGCCTTTGCCAGTAGACGGGGTATATAAGGGTGTATACATAAACGTTGAACGGGTGTGAATAGACGAGTTTTCAAGTTGTTCAGTGATCCGATGAAAGCGTCGTGCCGGTGTTTAAAATTACCATCGAATATATTATTTTGCGCAAACAAGGTTGTAGGGATCAATAAAATAAAGGTTTTTTTTTAGTTTTCCTGCGTTTATTAACACAATATACATGTATACATTACCAGGCAATACAGTGATTGATTTAAGATTGAACTCATGGTATTTCGAGAATAGATGCAGTTAAGAGCATTTTTTAATTACAACTATTGGGCTCTCTGGTCTGCATTAGCAATATTGTAGTAGCAAAAATAATAATTATTACTTATCATCGTGGACATGTAGTTTTTCAACTATTTTATGTAGAACGCGTGACTCAAATGTGCATGTAGTACATAAAAAGAGTTAAAATTTAATTTATCTCTCTNTATTGGGCTCTCTGGTCTGCATTAGCAATATTGTAGTAGCAAAAATAATAATTATTACTTATCATCGTGGACATGTAGTTTTTCAACTATTTTATGTAGAACGCGTGACTCAAATGTGCATGTAGTACATAAAAAGAGTTAAAATTTAATTTATCTCTCTCTAGTCAAAGACATCTAGGATTTTATTAAAATTTTTTTTTAATGTACATAATATCATGGTATTGACTTTTTTTTTTTTTTTTTTTTATATAATAATTATATTCTTAAAAATTCGAGATGTCTATTGAAGCTTCCTTATTTTTGGGTTTTTATCGTTTTAGTTTTTAATTGGGAACCATTCAATTATTTTTTGAGTATTTCATAATTTTGAGTATTAAAAATTTGTAGACAAACTTTCTTATATGATTCACAAGGTCGTGATATTCCTTTCCTATCTAAATCCCTGTAAATGGCCGACTACTTTATCTCCATGTGATACAATAACTTTGTAGATTAAGCTGCAGCTGTTTTGGAACATCACTCGCATCTCAATGCTTGGGTAAATGAATCATTAAAATTTTGTCCAAACATCTTTGAAATCAAGTCGTTGATTTTTCAAAGCAGAAAAATACACATATATATATTTATAAACGTTTTTTTTATTTACTAGAGTATTAAAACGGATTTTCGTACGCTTAAAATTTTCATTTTCTGCTTATTTTGTTTGATTTACAGTTATAAATCCAAAAGTATCATAAAGTTTTACGAGATGAATCTAGATAAGATGAAAAGTTGTTAAAATTTCGATAAAAATAAGTTCTTACTACGTAAAAAAATTTTGTACTATTCCTAAAAGTTTAAATATATTCGACTAATTGTGGATAAATACCAAAAATCAGTGTATCTTAACATTCATAAATTATAAATCATGTGTAACGATTTAGTAACGCAGCAAAATATTTTGATAATTTGGATTTTTGCTTTAAAAACGCTTATGATAATATACTAATAACCTCATCAGTCAACTGACTGATATTTTTTAGTTAAAAACTTTATTTACTTAAAGTTTTCAAACATAATATTATCAAAAAATTTTTGTTGAAATTCATCTTTTATACCATAACGTGACATTTAGAGTTTTATGAAAACTCATTTAAATTTTTTTAAAGGTATACAATTCTCATGTTTGTCACTNCCATACTCGAGGTATTCGCGTGAGTTTTTTCGATACGAATAACCGACTTACATCCGATTCGAGTAAAAAAATTACAACAATTATAGTAATAATACCAATACATATGTAGCCGTCACAGTAATCCATTGTAAAACAATTTTCGATTCGCTTAAGTTTCATCGACATTATTTCTTATCTCAAGTTAATAGTTCGTTCACCGTGTTGATCATTGAAACACTTGCTAGCATTTTAATTTACGCGCATCAGTGAATATCGTCCTGGACTTGGAGATCTTACGTATACAATCAACGAAGAATCCAGATAAGTGGAAAAGTTTATTTCCTTGAGAAAAAAAAAAAAAAAAAAAAAAAAAAAAAAAAAAAAAGAACAAAAAAATAAAACCAACAGTCACGTGTAAAAAACGAGAGTACAAGCCAAAACAAAAACAACGTCCGACGCAGTGATAATCTCTCGACGTGGTGGTATGGCTTTTGTAAAATCAGTACGTCAAAGGCGTGTGTACAAATCACGCGCAGATGACCCTCCTGGAATCGGAAAACCGAGGTGTACATTAACAGGGAGGCTAGTACCGTAACGCCATCCAGTTGCCGGTGTGCTCGTCCCGGCGGTAATAACGGGGCTTGTTGTCCGGAAAGACGGTGATGGCCGGAAACGGATTGTCCTGGATGTACTTGAGGGTCGCGCGGATCTAGAAACAAGTGTATGGATTGGCCGAATTTGCGCACGAGCTTGTATTGTATTATATTAGAGTCTCAGCGTGGGATGTATGGCCACGACGTGCTCGAGGCATCCGCCATATAATAATTTTATTGAAAACGAGGAAGAGGAGTATACAGGTACAGCGCTAGCTTGTTTGCGCTTGCAAAGATAGAGAGGGAAATGCCGCGATCGTTGTTTGTACAGTCCGATTGCGTGCAGCTCGCGGTTTAGCAAAGTTTGATTGGATTGGGCCGGGAAGCGCGGTCGGACTTGATTATTTTTAGTGGAGTAAAGCCCAACTTGTCTGCGTTGTTATCGATTGATCAAGAATTAAGGAAACAGTGATGGCCGGCCAAGGTGCACATCGTATTCGGATGGTCTATCCTAGTGATCTTATACTGAGTGATCAGCCAATGCTCATATCGAGATGAACCAGATAATTTTGAAACATTGACTTATCTACATAAGCAAGATCTTTTTTTTATCACTTATTGTAACATCGCTTCCTGTACTTAGTGATCTTTACAACGGATGATTAGACTAAGTTCATGTCGATGCTAATAAGTTGATGATTTAATTATTTCAAAGTCATCTGGTTATCTGAAACAAGCATTGGCAGATCACTAGTATATCCGAGGTACGGCTATTTGAGTGCTGGAATGCGGATTCGAGGAATAAAATAAACTCCAGTGGTAATAGTGTTAAATCGTTCATTTGTGAAAATAAGACTCATTTGTGTACTACGGCTTTACAATTATCGTTGTTACTATTACATATAAGCTTCATATTCTGAAAATACTCTTTGATAAAAAATTGCCAAATAGAACAGAAATGAGATGCATGTAATAATCAAACAGCATTATTCAGGTCAAAGTATTTAATTGTTTGTTTTCGTACCATTAGAATTCGATTGAAATCCAACTTTGATATAATTGGTATTCATTTAAATTAATTGATTTTCTTTTGATGTCATTCAATAAATAAGTAAGTTAATAATAAGTTTAATAATAAAATAAATAATAAGTTTTTTATCCACAATTATTTTGATGTACGTGTATGGGGATATGTTTCACGTATACGCACTTTTACCTGCATTAATAGGTACATGACCCTATAGTATCAAGTTAAACCGAGGGCTCTGAGTGACATTAAATAAATGATGGTCACGTCGGATAGACACGCATTATTAGTTTGATAACTTTATAAACCAATGTAGCATGTGAAAAAATATCATTTAACATATCATCACATATTATTTATCACTTACGTAATGTTAGCTTAGACCCTTGGTCGGTGGAAATGGGACTTGACAATAGGGTCACACTCCTATGTTTGTTTACAAGAATTAATACAGTGATACCACTACCACTCAATATTTATTGTTCCTCGAATTCATTTGCTATCACAAGAAAAATTGAATTTATAAGTTTTTTTAGTCAAGTCCACCGCGGGTCAACCCAAAAGTACTTTGGGATCTGATAAAGAGGTTAGAAAAACAGATGATTATAATTAGTGATTAGCAACCTTTAAATGCGCATAGTGTTGTAGTGGGTGACCACAAAAATTTATTTGACTGTACAGGTGGATCGTAAAAAATATTAGTTGATTGATAAAAAAAAGGTCAATATACGATACCTGAGAGACGAAATGAGGAAGCTCAACTTCGGGTGATGTTGACAAATGCTGGAGAATAAACTGGTCGGACTGGGCGAGCCAGAGGTCGACGCCACGCAGGGGCTCGTAATTAAATGGTCCTATTCTCAAAAGACCGAGCGTGTAGTCGTAGATGTCGAGAACCTTTTGAACAAAATTACAGAGTACTGCCTTAATTTTATTATTTATTTGCTGCTTCTTATTTGATGATCTGTAATGCCTATTATGGCAAAGTCACAGTATCCTATTAAATTTAGTTTCGGACAAAATTTCAAGAGTAATATCTAGAAGTAATAAAGTTAAAAATAGTTGTTTTGATACAGTTGAAGCTTCAATATCTTTTTGGCACGCATAATCATCAAAGTGGCTAGAATTTGTGACTGTTAAACGGCGATAGCTTGAGAGCAGTTGATTTAGAATTTCAAAGTTTAAGACAATGTATTATTACACTGCAATTTGTAAACCAATCAAATGTAATTAAATAAAATTAGTAGTTAAGCCCTGCAAATGCTAAACATTCAGGTCTGTCTTTATAGAAAAGTTTGCATCATGAATAGATGATGAATATACAATTCATATACCTGTTGACCACCAGTCAAATGTCTCGCGCACCTGAGCTGTGCATCAGGACCCTTATCCGGAAAAGTGGCTGGGAAAATTTCGTTAGTCTTGACATTCAGACCAACGCCATAGATGATTGGCCAGTGAATACCACCTCGAATAACTGTGTTGAGTTCACCCACACAGCACAGGGTCAAATCTATCTCAACTGGTTGCTTGTGAAAAGCCGCTTAAGTAGACAATAAAGATTTTATATTTCATAAAATGTTTTTATACCTTGGAAAAAAAGGTAGCAATCAAACTTTTTGTTACGCTTGATAATTTTAGTTTTAATTTTTTTTATAAATATTTTTAACATGAAAAAACAATTTTTTTTATTCTTAACTACTAAAGTTATTAAACATCTCAATTATAAATAAATATTTTTTTTTACAGTTAAAAATAATAACTTTTTCTTTTTTTGACAACTTGCATCCGATTTATTGTGCAGAATAGTAATTTTTGCTGAAATTTCTCTATAATTTTTATTGTTTTTTTCTCCCAGTGTATCAATTAGTTCCAACGACGTAATTACTACAAAGAATATCTCTCGGAACGGTATGAAAACATTTTGCGTCGTTTATCTGAGTGGATTCTCCAAAATACTCGAAAATATTGCAAATATTTTTATGAGTTGATAATAACATTGTACCAGTAAAATAACGATGAAATAATACGGACTAATGGTAAAATTTTGCCATCGTTGGTGCCTCGTTCAACCAAAATTACGCTCAGCATCGACATTAATTTTCTCGAGTAAATTTTGTTACATCTGATTTCCCAAGTCTCGAGCACCGAGTCGATTTACAGCAACGGCTGACGAAAAAAATACGGGGTTGCAATCACGCGAGAGCTCGTAAGTACCGTCACGCCAAACAACAAAATTGACCTCTCGTTTAAAATCGCAAGATTCACGCTTCAAAAACACATATAAATTCACACACGTGGAAAAANGGTGGCCGCCGCCGAAGCCGCGTGGTGGTTCTCCGTGTGTCGGCGCAAGCTGCGCGCGTCGCAGTACGATTTGCCGCAACCCTCGGCCTTGCACTCGTACGGCTTTTTGTTGCGGTGCGTCAACGAGTGACCGTTCCTATGGAACAACAAAGGGTGACAAGTTATTATTGTTATTATTATTATTTTTTTTTTTATAGCATCTTATAAATAAAAAGTTTAAAGTAAAATTATTTTGCTTTTCTTCTAAAAAATACTAAGGATAAACATTTTTATTTTAATCATGGTAGGGGTATGAAAGAGAGATATTCAACTTTCTGCTTCATTAAAGTTTAAAATGTGCATGCACATCGTACAACATTAAAGTTTTATGTGATCTTCGAAATATTCATTAGTATCGTTGCTCACAGCCAGTCAATCGATGTAATTCTTACACACACTCCTTAAACAGACATCAATTAACTATTGAGTACAATTTTTTCTAAATTTTATTGTTAATTCAATGAAAGTTTCTTTGTAGAAGGGCTAATTTCTTACACATAAACTAGTGTAAAATATACAAAATTCGATTAATTAATTATTCTCGCCTAAAAGATGGTGGATCATATTTAAACTCGGTACTAATTTTCTTTGCGCATGTTTTCACCCACGTAAATTCTTTCTTTCAATCAGTTCTTTGATCAGGTACACCTTTTTAATTTCAAATATCAAATCTTTCAATCCTTGTGAATTTTACTGACCTCTTACTCCATTGTTACCAATATTTGACCTTACAGATGAATGTACATACCAATGAATAAAATCAAACTCACACATAATATTACAAAAAAGCTCGTCAGAGTATCCACGTGGATCAGAGTATCCTCCGATCAGTTGTAACTCAAAGCGTCCCTCAGGAAAACCAAGTGCCAACTCCGAGACCCTCTGTATCATTTGTGCAGCTGCATCTTCGGTTCCTGAGCCATCTAGATGTGCCATGGCCGACGTACCTGATCCTATGAGTAAAAAACAAAAAAATGTTTTCTTCCCCACGAATAAATAATAACACGTGTTCAGTGTACTATTTACAGGGTGTGCTAAATCATCGTCAAAAACTATTATATACGCATCATGTTTGACGTATTTGTTTGCTTGCCTTGACTAGCCAAAGACACACGATTATTTAGCGCATTTTAATGGTTAGAGGGTTTGATTCTTTAAAAGGAAAAGTTTTCATTGCAGTTACTGTTAACGACTTGTATGTATTATTTATCTTAAATAAATAAACCCAAGACTCACCACAATGCCTCAACACGCAGATTATACACGTGGTCGAGTCATCTGAGCCCAGAATTGTAACATTTTCTGTAATACACGAAAAAAGCAGTAAATTAACCCTCGTAGTGTTGCTTGCAAAAAAAAAAATATATATCCGACAAACTCACTGTCATGTGGCATAGTAGCGGCCATCTCCCTCTGCTGGACGTATAGCAAGCCCGCCGGTCCCACCAATTTTGTCGGCATCATGTGCAACTGAGCCGCAGTGTCGCGATAAATCGGGTGAGCCTCGTACAAAACTCGGCTGTTCGGAGGCACTTTGTCCTGCAGGACGCCATTCAACACCAGAACCATTCTGTATTACAAAAAAAAAAATCGAAGACTCTTCAGTTGGACAGATACGAAATGAAACAAAGTTGCGCAAATTTTTTTTTTTTTTTTTTTTTTTCCTCGTAAACAAAGGCTGCTGTATTGCACAAATTTGCGAAAGCGCGAATCTAATGTAAAACCTTTATTTTGTCCACTAGATTAGAGCTGGTGATCTCGCTCACTCATGGTCAAATTAAATAGTGAAATATTTAACTAATTTTTCCCATTGCAGCCTATACTTAAGAAGATGTGCCAATGTATGCGCACGAGAAAAAGTTTAAAATGCAATTTCATGTGATGAGCTACTATTAATACCTACAATTAATTGAACGCAGGTGTAATATTATTCGAGTCTTTTTATTCTTAAGACTATTTTTTAATGCAGTTATGTAAGCGTGTGGTAAAAGTTGAGGTTCATTTCTACGCCTCGAATCACAACACATTTTTTCGTTCCTCATGATTTATCTTAATCGCAATATTGCAACCATGTCTCCAAACTGGACATTAAAAGTGATTGCTTTATACGTATGTTCTTTGCGTCAACATATTTACGTGAACTTGATTTGTTTCGCGTTAAATTTGTGAAGAAAATAAGTAAAAACTCGTAGCACACGGGGATAAGCTTATCAAACTCGATTCTCGCTCATCATTTCGAAAGAGGAGCAAGTTTAATGTAATCGTATCAGCGATGACGGGCATTACGTAAATTTCGAGCTCAAGTTTTACGACGAAGAACTAAATTTAGAAAAAAAAAAATGCGATTAGGAGCGCCTCGTTGCTTGCACACGTTGAAAATATGAAGATAGAATTATTATCGACAGAAGACGATCGGCTGATGAAATGATCTTCCGTCATCTCCATAATTTTCACGTTTTAATCCAGTGTGCATATCATTAGCTTACAGTTGTTTTCTTCGACATAAACATGATGGAATGATTTCAAGTGAGTTGGTACTTTTATCTCCGACGCTGAAATTTTTGGAATAAAAATAATACCGAGTATATTATGCGTTTGATGGGTTTCCTTGAAAACTGGAGCTTCAAGTACGAAATTTTTTTTACCATCGCATCTCCAATAATCATTTTTTCAACGTTTGTAAATCTTGCACATGTAATCACAAAATTTATTCGTCGTGCTTGTAAAGCACATGTAAATTTATGATAATACAGGTTCCCTCGAGTTTCAATAATTACTTGAACTTCAAGTCGATGTACCACTTTTTCGATTGTTCAAGTTCAATATGAAAACCAGATAGCTCTGAGGTTCTTTCAATTTTACACCGTTTGTACTTATGATAATTTATTTCTCACCCTCCTTACATTCTTCAAAACAAAATTCAGAGTTTAATTGAATACTTGATCTACTATAAATCGCTAATGCGCATGTCTATTCAGAAGAAAAGTAAAAACATACAGTATAAAAGTATGGAAATTTTTTTTTTCCCTGTGAGTTTTAGTTTTCATCGATTTGTAATTTTGATGGTATCGTACAATATGGAACAGTGCAGATTTCAACAGTTTCTTCCACTCAAATTTGCTCATACGCTGTTGTGTTGATTAAAAAGTAGATCATTAATTTGAGTATCCTACGCATGCATAACTCAATAAAAAAAAAAAAAAGAAATACTCACACGTACGAGAATTTCTTACTCGCGTCGAGGAAAACAGACAATCACTTAGATAAGAAAGTACTGCGTGAATTAATTGCATTCTCGGAATAACTGTCCTTTTTTTTTCTATATCCGTGTTGGGTACTCGAAATTACGTTTCTATGCTATCGGCGACGGCTCCCGCGTGGAGTCGAGTTCATTTTTTTTGTAAACAAAAAAATCGTTTTATTTCGATGAAGAATAAGAACTTGCGGGAACAAAAATTCCAAAGTGCTTTGCGTCCTCGGTAAAAAAAAAACAAAAAAAAAACAAAAAAAAATGTATAACCATGTTCGCAATTGAGGCACAAATTTACAACAATTGCGTCCTTCGAGTTGAAAAGTCGCACTTTTTTTGCCTATCGGACGAAAACTACTTTTTCCACCCCCGAACAATAAAATGACGAACGAGAGTCGGGCGTAAACGTATACTATTTATCATTCTGTTGTGATTCCGTAAAGTAAATTCATTTTCAACCCATAAGCATAAATAATACGTTACATCAATGGACAACAATCATAAAGACGTTTGTAAATAAAAAAAAAAAAAAATGTTTTTACACGAAATTCGTTCATACATGTGACCCTCTTCTTTTACATCATAAGATCACAGTATAGAAAATACGTATACAGTCACGATTATAGTGTTTGGTACTTTTTGCAACAAACAATATTCTATTTTCGTAACGAGAAATATTAAACCATACATTTGCGTTTTTTCATTCACAACTTGGCCCAAATACCGCCAGGTACGTATATATATATATATCCACATACTCGTACAACACGTAACACAACAACGATAAATCCGAATCATTTAAATATAATCACTAAAATTAATCACCCGTGATGACACTTGAGCGTAAAAGCTTGGGGGGTGGGGGGTGGGTGGGCACGCGTTTTGTTTACTCGTCACGAGTGAGTGTGCTTGTGTAAGCGCGGAAACAGAGAGAGAGAGAGAGAGCACTATAGTTGTAAAAGCACGGGGGTAGCTATACATACATATGTGTGTGTGTGTGTGTGTGTGTGTGTGAGTGAGTGGTACGGATATTATGTATAGATATACGAAAAGCGAGGGGTCACGCGTTATAGGTATACACTTACGCTTTCTCTCCGCGGTGGCACGACCTTTCGAGACGGAGGCAATCGGCTCGACTAGACACATCGTTCTCGTGGCCTCCGGCCTCTGGCGCGCGTTCGCGAGCCTCCATTCAAGCGGAGGGAGGAGATGCATGTAACATACATATACATATTATATAGATGTACACGGGGAAGAAACAAAGTGGCGGAGAGGATGAGCCGGAGAGAGAAAAGAGAGTACGAAAATCGGCGCACGATCATTAACGATATTTGAGTCCGTGCGTATAGGTACGGTTTACCATGTGTCTCTCTCTCGTTACTACTGGATGGGGTACCGGAGTGAAAAGAGGCTCAATAAAGTGTTCTCGTGTAGGCAAGGGATTTTTCATGGGAATAATTCCATCGTGTCAAAAAAATCCATACTCGAGGTATTCGCGTGAGTTTTTTCGATACGAATAACCGACTTACATCCGATTCGAGTAAAAAAATTACAACAATTATAGTAATAATACCAATACATATGTAGCCGTCACAGTAATCCATTGTAAAACAATTTTCGATTCGCTTAAGTTTCATCGACATTATTTCTTATCTCAAGTTAATAGTTCGTTCACCGTGTTGATCATTGAAACACTTGCTAGCATTTTAATTTACGCGCATCAGTGAATATCGTCCTGGACTTGGAGATCTTACGTATACAATCAACGAAGAATCCAGATAAGTGGAAAAGTTTATTTCCTTGAGAAAAAAAAAAAAAAAAAAAACAACTAAGTGTTATTCTTTAAAATAAAAATTTAGAAGATGTAAAAAATTTTAACCTTTTTTTTTATTTATTATTGCAAGTATGCGCGATTGTCTTTTTCAAAACTACAAAGTGGGAAATCCTTGGGCACGTAAGCAACGGAGGAAAAAAAAAAAAAAAAAAATAAATAAATACAATGAAAAATAAAAAGAGACGAAAGCTCAAACTGTTGAGAAGATATATAATCGGCAGGAGTATGTATGTATGCAAAAAAGACCAAAGAGAGCGCGTATGCAGGTACATAATGATAGTGAGGCCGTACAACAAAGGACAACAAAGGGAATTTGGACGCGTGTGCGAGTGAATATGCCGAATCGGTTGACGCGAGTGTGCGAGCACGGAGCACCAAAGCGATAAGCATCTTGTGGAGGAGCTGCGGGTCTGCTCGAGAAAAAGACAAGGTCGAGACGGTGGCGTTCCCGTGAAGCGGTTGTTTGTGCGTTATTCGGTGTACTTAATATACACGCTACCAACTTACGCGCTCATCAGGTATACTGACTTTGAAAAAAAAGAGCCAATTTTCGCGTTCTCACCTTTTTACTTTCGTCCAACTCGTTTTTTTTCTTCAGGAAAGAGTTGCCATGCTTACATTTTAGACACTTGTAATGAATCTGTGACGAAAACGTAATGTCCGTCGGAGCTGATGTTTTTCATTAACAACAATTTGATTAATCAAAGCTGATCAAATTAGTGATTAATCACCGATTTGATGATCACTTGAACGCGAGCTTGAACGTGTATAAAAAAAAAAAAAAAAAAACTATGAATTCCATCCGTGCGCTTCAAACACATTATTATAAAATATTATGGACAAAACTGAGTGTTTATGATTTGTAATAAGAAAAAAAGTGATTTCTCCTCAAGTTATCCGTACCCAAGACAATTGACGCGTTTCATGGCAGTGAAAGGACATAACTCACCGGGATAATCAGTGTACACTTATTCGACAAAATAATACACTTTCATAAAATCGACTTACTTATCGACAATGTTTATTTTTCAAGGCGCAATCGTTGAACGCGCACGCAAATAACTCATTGTCTTCTAGTGTCCATACTTATATACACGGAAAATCGAAGATAAGCCGAGTGTAGGTATACTCCGACCAAATGAGACAAAGAGCAAAGCATCCGGCTCTCGACAAAGTGTGAGGGAGAAAAAAAAAAAGCTGTAGCTTTGAAAAGAAAAAGTAAATTGAAAAAGTGCGCGGGGGATGTAAAAGGTGGTAGCGATTGTCACGAGAGTATATCATCATATGCGCCCGTTATTGACGAGATACTGATCATCAAGAGAGGAAGGAAGGAATCATTATAGCGAGCAACGCAGTAACAATTTGCAAGGTGACGAGGCGTGGCGTATCGGGTATTACAGTCGAGTTACCGCTTAGTCCCCCGCAAAGGAACCAACCATTTGTAAATGTGTATTTTGAGAATTGCGAAGTATCATTTGTTTTGTATTCCACAAAACCGAGTGAAGAATTACTTTGTAAGCATAAGAATTACCTTTGCATTGAAAAAAA